TTTTTTTTTTTTTTTTTTTTTTCCTGGCCTGCTAAGGCCCTGGTGCTCCCTTGCACCTGACACAAAGCAGCCACCTGGTGCCAGTTGTAGTGGAACTGTTTGCAACATAGGCACTTTCCTGCTGGGCGTTGATCTGAGACCTGGCAGCAGCTGTCAGGCAAAACAGCTTTCCCCTCCATTTCAGCTCCCTGTCTTTCCTCACTGCTGCAGATGGAGTCTGCCCGCAAAGCATGGGAGAATTCCCCTAGCTTACCAGAACAGAGCTCTCCAGGAGGTGCTGGCTCAGGCATCCAGCCGCCTTCCAGCGTTGGAGCATCCAATGGTGTCAGCTACAGCTCGTTTGGGGGCGTTTCCATGCCTCCTATGCCGGTGGCATCTGTAGCACCTTCTGCATCTATTCCAGGTACCTGCTAGACATTAGCTTTGTTCCAGATTGGTGGCAGTGGAAGCTGCATGCCCCTGGCCCTGTCCAGGTTGACTCTGTGCTTCGTGTGTGTGAAAGCATGGACTCCACCTTGAAGTCATGTAATGGGAGTATGTGAAAGAGTTGGTTGTGTAATGAGACAGTCGACTAGATGGTGCTGAAGAACTCATTCACAAAGCAATTTAGGAGAGAGGTAACTGTTTCCTCTCCTCAGGTGAGGGTCCTCTGGCTGTTGTTGGTGTAAGCCTGGCATAGGGCTAAAATCCTTCATGGGCATGTCGCAGTGGATTAATGCCTGTGGTTGGACACTGGGCTGTCTCGGCGATGCTCCCCTAGGTCCCGCTTGACCCTTTGCTGTGTACTCGACAGAAGGGAAACAAAGATTCTGTGACTGAGAGACTTGAACTTGGGTCCCAACACTGGCATCAAACAGTTGCCCTAAGTATTTCTGTAGCTGAGGCCATTCTTTTGGTCTTAGGTACCTAGAAGCCCTTGTTACCATAGTACCTCCCAATATATGTATAATAATTACGTGCACTCCTAGTACCCCTGTGAGGTAGGAAGTGCTGTCATCCGCATTTTGCAGGGCCTTGTACCGGGTCTGTTCCCCCCCCCCCCCCAAACAAAAAACTTAA